ACCCACTGTCCGCCACAAACACTACATCCGCCCTCCGAATTTAGTCTGGCGTCTCAGATGCGGTCTAGGAGTCGCAGCAGTATCTATAAGGTCCATTGGCAGCCCACCTTGTTTCCATACTCGTTTTCAGTTGGTTCATCATCGACGAGCTTCTTCTCTCTTCTCTTCCATACCTAATAATCAAACCACATTCCTTACGGTTTGCCTTTTCTCAGTCCCTGGTTGGACTTTTTTTAGACAATTTTTAATAATCGAATTCAAAGCGAGTCTTTGCTGGAGGTCCCTCATTACCAACTTGTCTAACCTTTTTAACACCGAACCAACAAACTTTAATTCAACACTATGCCGAGCATAACATCCATACTCAAGGGCCTCGTGGCCGTGGCGCCTCTTGTGGCTGCCATCCCTGCCGAATACGGTCGTCGGGAAATGGCCTCGATGCCAATGGCCATGCCCCCAACGATTACCGAGAAGGCTGAGCCCGCAGCAAAGGCAGCGGCTTCCCCATCGGCTTCCCCATCGGCGGCCGCAGCGGCAGCACCAGCAGGCGGATTGACTGATGTTGACATCCTCAACTTGTAAGTGCATGATTGGAATTCAATGGTGGTGAGCAGAGGCTAACAGCAACCAGTGCCCTGACTGCTGAGCATCTCGAATCAAAATTCTACAGCATGGGTTTCGCCAAGTTCCCCATGAGCGACTTCATGGCCCTTGGTCTGAGCGAGGCTCAGGTCAAGAGTCTCATGATGGTTGGCCAGACCGAGGCCACCCACGTAACGACTCTCCAGTCCGCCATTACCGGTGCTGGCGCAAAGCCCGTCGAGCCCTGCGAGTACAACTTTGACGCTGCTCTCGCCAGTGCCGACGCCATGGTCAAGACTGCCCGTGTTCTCGAGGCTGTCGGTATCTCCGCCTACCTTGGTGCCGCCCCTCTCGTCAACTCCTCCGATGTCCTTGCCGCCGCCGGATCCATTGTCACCGTCGAGGCCCGTCACCAGGCTTTCATCCGTGTCGCTGCCGGTGCCGAGCCCGTCCCCGCTGCTTTCGATGTCGCTCTTGGACCCCGTGCCGTCTTCACCCTCGCCGCTCAATTCATCAAGTCGTGCCCTCAAGGCTCCAACCTCAACATCCAGCCTTTCCCTTCCATCGCCCTTCAGAACCCCGAGCAGGCTACCATTGGCCAGAACCTCAAGCTTGCCGACCCTGCTCAGCCCTCTGGTGCCATGTTCTGCGCTTTCGTTGCTCCGTAAGTTTTTTCACATTCGCCTTTTCCATATTAGATGCAAAGACTAACGCTTTACACAGTGCCGGTGCCCAGTTCACTGACATCACCGATGGCAACTGCAAGGTTCCCGACGGCATCTCCGGTGAAGTCTACATGATGATCACCAAGAGCAAGTCCATCACCGACGCCGAGGTCCTTGCCGGCCCCGCTGTCCTCCAGCCCTCATAAACGCTTTCGCCCTCGTCTTTTTAAAAACAAAAAATGAGCCCAAGCTAGCGCTGCGAAAGAGTCTTCCCTGTTGTCAATATTTCCCCTCTTTCTTCAAGGGGTTACGTGCGGAACGACTGGAGCGAGCAAAAGAAATCTAGCAAGAGACATTTTTCATAACGAGCGAAGTATGTGCATATGGATAAAAACCCTTTTTTTCTCTACAGTCATTGAAATGCAAGTGTTGAAATCTCATCTATAAACATCTTCTTTCTATGTACTGTTATTTTCCTTTTCCTTTTCATTATCCGCACTGTTTTTCATTTCCTTTTTTTGTTGTTCTCTTTTTTTCTTTACTACGACAAAGAGTCTGATTGGTTGTGGTGGAAGACGACGACACACATCAAGATACCCTTCAAGCAAAAAATGGCAATAGGTAGTCGAAGAAGAGGCGCAGGGTGAGGAGGAGCAGGAGCAAGCAAGTAGCAAAACAGGTGTGTAACCGGGTAAGGTAGATTCCGTGAATCATACCAAACTCCCTTCATACACACGTTGTAGTATTAGGTTCGGTTAATGGCAGGGGGTAGGCAAGGTATAAGACAAACACGATAACGATTTCAAATATCATCCAAAAAAATCCATTTCTTTGTTTTCCCATATATTTCTCGAGGCACTGATGAGACGCGGGGCTGACTCGCTGGAGCAAGTACATCGGTGAATAACTGGTTGTTGGAGGTGTGCATTATTTGTGACAGGTTCGGGTGGATTACTTGTATTGGAATGGGTGGGGGTGGGTCCCCTCGTTGCAACGGGCGCGGTTTCAAGCTCGCAATTTATCGATGCTTCGAGTCAGGGCATTTGGTAGAGAGAACCGCCCCAAGTCCGACAACGTTTCTGGCCTGCACGACGACTCTGCTCGCCCACATGCCCGATTTTCTATGGCATGGAATTTGTCATGGGGGATGGCGCAATGTCTGTCGCGTACATAGTAGATCTGTACTCGGTCTGTATTATTTTTGATCTTGCAAAGTCACGTGTAGGGAGACAAGTCTATTTGCTCCGAGTCGGGCCGACAGCCAAGAAACCTGGGGAAAGCCTCTCCAAATCCGCATCCGCCACCTCTCTTATCAATCTCCCGAACATGACCCGCCCGCACCGCCATTGACGCTAAAGTGCGAGATCCAGCTGCGACTGATTGGTCGACAACATGCATCTCCATGTGGAGTAATACGACCGAAATGTTGAGTCGAACAGCCATGTCGATGATCAACTGAACAGCGCAGTCAAGTGATCAGAAAGCACGATAAAAAGGCGGTGCGAGAAGGGCGTTTATGTTTCTTTCTTTCTTCCCCCCCCCCCGCTCCACACACCCACATACACACTTCTGGAGACGGTGGAGTCGAAACCAACGTCATCACGTAGGTAGGTAGTAGTGTATTTAAACAATCCGGGGATACTGTACAACCTTCTTCGCGCACGCACCCAATCTTTTGCTCTCACCGGTCCAACACCTTTCGCCAACAAACAATACACAAAACGGCAGCCGCGATGCACCAAAACGGCAGCGCATCGACCTGCCTCGAGCAGCCCATCCAACTCCAAGACGTCTCCTCGTACCTCGCCAAGCCCCCAGATGCCAAAGTAGCTGGTTCGCTGCATTCTAATAACTCTGGTGGTGGTCTGCGGCTTTCAGATACAAAGGGCATGCAGAGTAGCGATCCTGTGGAGAATCTCCCCTCGCCGACGACACAGGCGGCGCAGAAGCTTGAGCTGTGGAATCACCCTCGCTCCAACTTGTTCAGGGTTGCAGCGGCGTTTTGGAGCTTTGTGGTCATGGGGAGTAATGATGCGGCGTATGGAGCGCTGATACCATATGTATGTTTGACATCCCCTTCTTTTTCCTTGAATATTCCCCGATGATTGATAAACGCTGCTTGAAACGCGGCTCGGAAGAAAAAATCTCCTACAGACAATAGAGCCCGAAAAAAAGCAAAAACATGGAGAAATCGCTAACATGTTTGATTGTTCGGAAAATTATAGCTTCAAGAATATTACAAACTATCCTTCGTCGTCATCTCGCTCGTCTTCCTCTCGCCACTCGCGGGTTACACGGCGTCGGCGCTGCTCAACAACACCATTCATCTCAAGTTTGGGCAACGAGGCGTTGCGGTTATTGCGCCGAGCTGCCATTTGATCGCTTACATTGTCATCGCTGTGCACCCGCCGTATCCCGTTTTGGTTGTTATTTTTATGCTGGCTGGGTTTGGAAATGGACTTGCTGATGCTGCATGGAGTGAGTCCAACCATATTTTCTTTGACAGAAAGAGAAAAAAGAGACGACGCTGACGACGAAACATAGATGCTTGGATTGGTAACATGGCGAATCCAAACGAGGTTCTAGGCTTCTTACATGCGTTCTACGGCGTTGGTGCTGTGCTTGCCCCGTTGATCGCTACGACTATGGTTACGAAAGGAGATAGGCTGCCATGGTATAGCTTCTACTACGTTATGGTAAGTACTACCCCCTTCTCCTCAAATGCCCACGTTAGACCCTGTCAGCTCATAACAAAAAACCTTTGCAGATCGGTATGGCTGTTCTCGAACTCGGCACGTCAATGGCCGCCTTCTGGCGCGAAACAGGCGCAAAATACCGTGCTGCTAACCCCCGCACCACCGATACAAAGGATAATCGCATGAGGGAAGCGCTTCTCCGCCTTCCTCAGGCTAGAGTCACCTGGCTCTGTGCACTTTTCTTGCTCGGCTACGTAGGCATCGAAGTCGCCCTTGGAGGCTGGATCGTCAAGTTCATGCTCGAGGTGCGTGACGGCGAGGAATTCGCAAGTGGAATGACTGCAACGGGGTTCTGGATGGGAATTACCGTGGGAAGAGTCGTACTGGGCTTTGTGACACCACGATTAGGAGAGAAGCTGGCTATTTCTGTGAGTTTTTTCTTAGTCTGAACTCTTTTTTGGGTGGTTGGTACCAGGATGAATGTTGTATGACTGACACATCGGAATATTAGATTTACCTCCCGCTAACCATGGCCCTCGAGCTGATCTTCTGGCTCGTCCCGCAATTCTACGTTTCGGCTGTTGCAGTTAGTTTACAGGGATTCTTCCTCGGTCCTCTTTTCCCCGCTGCAATCGTCGCGGCTACGAAATTGCTCCCGCGTCACTTGCATGTCGGTGCGATAGGGTTTGCGGCTGCTTTTGGTGGGAGTGGAGCTGCTATTTTCCCTTTTGCGGTCGGCGCTATTGCGCAGGCAAAGGGCGTGCAGGTGTTGCAGCCGATTATTCTGGCGCTTTTGGTCGTTATTCTTGGGTTCTGGCTTTGTTTGCCCAGGATTCATAAGAAGAATGAGTGAAGAGAATTTATGTGTGGACGCAATTGAGAGAGGGAAGGTGGAGAAGGTTTCACACAAGATATAGAGCCACTATTTCGGTATGTCAGTACGGATTTATTGAATACGAGCAAGTTACATTCGTTAGGGAGCAAATCCACTTCCTTAAAAATCATAATCTTCTTTGATGTCCACCAAGTCCACTTACATCTACCAACACTCAAACATTCAATGCGACACAACCTCCACCTTCTCCCTCTCCCCTCCCACCACCTGCTCTTTCCTCTCCAACCCCCTCCTCACCTCCTCTACCCTCTCCTGCGAAATCTGCACCCCCGCCCCCGCCGCAGCCTTAACCCCCTCAGCCATCGCAATAACAACCTGCTTCATCGCCACCATCGTATCCCCCGCCGCGAAAACCCCTCTAACACTCGTCTCATTAAACATGGCATTCACAATCCTCACATGCCCCCCCGCCTCCTCCGGCACCGTCTCCACCCCCAACTCCTCAATCAACCCCTGCGCCCGATTCACAGTAGAAGGCTTATGCACCACAAACCCAAACCTCTTCTCCTCGCCCCCTTCAAACCGCACAGTCACACCCTCGACATGGCTAGCCCCATTATTCACCATCCCTACAATCCTCCGCTCATCCAGCGTCGCCCCCATGGCCCTCGCCACCACCACCGCCTCCTTCACCTTCGCCTCCTCCCTCACCTTCCCATTCGTCAAAATGGTAATCGACGCCGCCGGATCCAGCGCCGCCGCCATACACACAAAATGCGTGTACGCCGATGCGTCGAAGCCGAGAATCGCGATGGCGCTACCGCGCTGCTCGTACCCGTCGCACGCGAGACACTGGTAGATATGCGCGGGCCAGTTTTCAGCGTACCCGGGGATGGCGGGGAAGATGTCGCGGGAGCCGGTTGCTAAGATGAGTTTTTTGCCGCGGTACGACACACCCGTGTCGTCTGTGATTTGGAACCCTTGGTATGGAGAGGGTGGGGTGGGGAGGGCGAAGACTGATTTCCGCGCGCAGGTAATGGTGGCGTGGTGGAACCAGACGGTGTCGTAGCGCGCTTCGATTTGCTCGCGGGATATGCGCCGGAAGTCGTCGGGTGGGAAGTGGTCGCGGGAGGCGACGGTGTGCATGTGCTGTATGCCCTCATTGCGGTATTGCTGCGAGTCGAGGACGAGGGCTGTGGTGCGGGTGCGGGCGCAGGTTAGGGCTGCGTTGAGGCCTGCAGGGCCGGCGCCGAGGATTAGGATGTCGAAGATTTGGGGGCGGGGGAGGGTCATTTTTTGTTTCTTTCGTTTGATAGAGATAATGGACGATGGGGATATGGTAAGAGAGTGCTTGAAGAGTTGTGGGTTTTGATGGTGGTTTTCTAGCGGTGATGCTACACTGACTGTTATATACCAACACTGCCCTACGAATCCGCCAGAAAACTATCCCAAAGCCTCCGTCAGACATCCAAGTGCTCTCAGGATGGATTAAAAGCTGGTTTGATACTAAAGTGTTGGGATTTTGTAATGTGTAGACGCCACTCAGCTTCGCGGGATGAGGTTAAAGTCGCCGATTCGAGTGCCGACCTACGCTGCAGATGAAATGTCTCCGAAAAAAGTTTCCGTACCAGCGTAGGTGAGACATATCCATTGGATGTTGTTGTATCTGGCCATTTGATTTGATCGAGTATACTGGTTGTCTTGAAGACGAGTCTTGAGACGGTAGTGGAAGGGTTGGCTGCGTACTACTAGCGCATGCATGCCGACAGTGATCCCGTGACTTTTACGCCAGAACTTTGGGGGCTTGAAACCTTGTACATGGTTCTCTGGGATATCACGGTGTCTCTAACACGACGGATATGGTGTAACGAGGAGCAATGAGTGAGCTGAGATGCACGAGCGTACATGGTGGTATGCAACCCACGATACGAAAAAGTCTTAAGAATCTGACTAATGCATCCAGAAGACAAAAACCCATCTCATCTGACTTCTGAATACTCAAAATTGGTAATGTCCAACGCCACACTGACCAGAGGCATCACTAAATATCAATACGAGACTGACGCGTGTCATTCCCTCCACCCTTCACGGACCGAGCCGCCTAGCACAACACGAAGAGAACCCTGCTCCCGCGTCGCAAATATATCACCCGTACAATCTCACCATGCGTCAGCAATTTAAAAGGTCTACAGTGTTAAACTGATTAAGAATTAAAACTAAGCAAACAGCTATATACTACTACTGCTACTAGTATCATCTCCCATCTCATCATCATCCTAGTCCTCCTCCCTCTGGCCCCATCCACCCTCTGGCCCAGCCCGGCCCATACAAGACAAAACACATTAACAACCAGGTTCTCATGAGGTATGTCTCCCATCAAAACATGTTCGTATCCGCCAGTAAAATCAAACAAAAAAAATCAGCAAAAAAAAGGTATAATGCGGATCGTTCCTTCGAGAAGGAGTAACAACATCGCGTCGTGAGAGAAAGGCGTTTGTGAGCTTAGCCAATAAAAAAAGGAAATAGAGGCGCTGCCCTGTAAGAAGCATCTTACACTCTTCCATTTCCCCTCACTTCATGCTATTGCATGAGGTGAACTGGAAAAGAGAGAAAAAGAGTGTAAAACGAAGAAGAAGAAAAGTAGTTCGCATAGTAAAGAAGACATGTAAAAAAAATCCTTCTTTACAAAGCAAGAACACCGACGAGGCCGATGAAAGCACCAAGACCAGCGCTGAGCGAGAGCCTAGATGCCGCACCAGTGAATGCAGGACCCTCAGGACCCGTAGCACTGGGCGTAGGAATCAAGCTCAAACTAATCGTACCGGTAGCGCTAGTCGGGGGCTTGGTGATAGCACTCGTGCTGTTCAAGCCCGCAGTCGGGTACGGCGTGACAGCCGCACTGGACGAAGGGGTGGTATGAGTAGGGCTGGGAGTCGATGAAGAAGTCGCCGAGGGAGTAGGCGTGGGGGTAGGCGTCTCATGCGGGTAGATCTGGGGCAAGAGACTCTGCACGTCGGTGGGGAGCGCCTGGTACCACGCCGGGGTGCTGCTGGCAGAAAGGCACGAAGCCATTTCCGAGGCGAAGGCGGAAGGGCTGGCGAGGGCGTAGGAAATGCTTTCCGAAGGGATGGCGTGAGCGAGGACCATGAGGACTGAGGTTTGAATTTCAGGACTGTGGGGGGGATTTAGGGTTAGCCAAGAGATCTTGTTTTGTGTGTAACGTTGGTAGTCGTGTTTGCGGAGAGAACGCGTGGTAGTCGCGTTTTGCTGATCATGGATTTGAATGAAATGTGGAGTTTGACTTACGCAACACCAGCAATGTCCGCGCTGGCGCCCATGAAGAGCGCACCGAGCGCTACAGCAGCAGTGGAGAAGCGCATATTTTTTTTCGTTTGTTTGGTGTTGATTAAAATGAGCGATTGGTTATCTCGTTGGGATGAGATATGTGGCGCGAACGACCGGAAAATGAGTGTGGGGATGAGCGAAAAAAACGCAGGGCAACCAAGAATAATGAGCGTAAGGTTTGGAAGGGTGAACGCGAGAGAAACATATTGATGAAGAGGATCCCGGCAGTATTTGAAACTGGGGAGGCGGCTCGTCAACTCACGATAGTATGCTCATCCGCCTGCCCGTTTGGAGAAAGGGCGGTTAACAAGGGGCGCAAATTTAAGATTGCAGCAGCGCCAGTAGGATATAGCCGCGGGCGAGCATATTGGATAACAATCACGCGCTGGTCGAAATGAATCGCTGGTCCAGGACGCTGTTCTAATGCTCTCCTTTGCCTTGATTGGCGGCTAGATTCGCGACTTGGTGTTGTGCTTTTGCTGTACCGGTCGCATGCCCAGTGAGCGCAAACACTGCCTCGTAAAACCTGCTCTTTGGTCAGCGCTGACAGCCTCACCGTATGACAGCACTCCCTCTCGCAGCACCGCTTGGCTTGAGTCTCATTTCCCGTTGGCGTGGGGAGAAGTGGCTAACGGGCCAATGGCACACCTATCAACGACGTCGCTAGCGTTGTTGTCGAATTTCCACTTTATAAGCACGACAGGGGTTCCATGCACTGTCTCCAGGACAGCCCACATGGTGCTCCACTCAAAGGGAATGCAGGGACGGATGAGGTGCATGCGCCGTTCTTGACAGCCTCGCCGTCAGTCACGATATCCTGCTTCTTGTTGTTTTGTGCGCTCAGCATACCAGTGCTTTGTCGACAATGCAACAAGGCATGAATCTCCTGAAAACACCGCTACTGCCGCCACCAGAGAGCGGCCCAGACTAACAATTGACAATGAAAAATATAGTGCCTTCTCTTAAGTAACTCCGGCCGTCGCCCAGATTTTAGCCGTATCAAGCAGCCATTGCCCGTCTTCCGCATCAAAATCGTGAACTTGACCGCCCGGCACTTCAAACGGGAAGATTCTTTTTCCCAGCCAACGCTTTCGTATGAGGCGCCTTATATTTCCTACTAAGAAACAAACAGTAACCAATCTCCTTTCCCCAAGACCTTGTTCTTTTGCTCGGGTCGGCTCTGACTTGTAGGTGTAAAGGAGTAAGGGGCAAAAAGGACCGTGTCGCTGCATCGCATTATAGCATGTATACGTTTCGGGTACCGAACAGAGGCGACCGTTATTTCCTCTATTTCACGGTTCATTTATGCCAAGCACAGTAATGTGTATACTTGAGTAAGTACTTACGGATGAAAGATAGCAAGACTAGGCCACATGTGCGTATCTCTGCCATCGTTGTAATGTCTCGCCGATCGCAATATGTTTTCGATATATCCCTTTCAATTACGAGTATAAGAACTGCACGAAATACTCAAGTCTTGATACTATTCTCCTTTTGAGAGATTTTTGACTCAAGTTGCATTGCGTTCATGCCACGCCCCGAAACTTTCTTGTTTTTTGTTTCGTCCCACGGTTGATGCTCGTAGGGTGAGATCCAGACCCAGAGCACATGCCCGCTGTTATGTAATCAATTCTGGTGCGCCATTAATCTAGGGATCGGGTTGATAGAAGACGTGGATGACATGTGTTAGGTATGACAGATGTCGTACCGAATGATACGATGCTGGCGCCGGTCGGTGCTGTGAAAATCATACTGGCGGAGTTACTACCGGCACTTGCCCTTATTAGAACTCCAGATACTGGTATCCAAGACCGCAATACTTCGGACTCTCAGTGAATGCTTCTCAAGAATATAGTCTAATTGGATGATTGCTCAACTTTTGTTTTCTCTTGCCATCTAACATAACAACAAAATGGTCTGATAACATCGTAACTCGTTAGCAGACACAGACTGTAAATGCAAACAAATACAAAAGCTTTTATCATAAAAATCAGCGCAGCGAAAACCATTACCACATTATTCATCTCTGCAAAAAAAACCTTCATCACAGCAACCACATCATGCCTCGAACTAGGCCTTCTTGGCCTGTCCATTGGCCGCATTTGCAGCCTTCCCCTCTGCCTTTTCCTTCTGTTTCTTCTCAGCAGCTCTCCTCTTCGCGCTCTCTTTCTCAAGAATCTCAATCGTCTTCTCGCTGCTTTCCCACAGCTTCTTTTGCAGCAGCTCGTCGTCAATATCTTTCCTGGTCCAGATGGATCTTCTGCACTCCTTGAGGAAATATGCACCCTCGCCCCTACCCCACTGGGCCTCCATGGCTGCATAGAGGAAAGTTTGTGCACCTTGATCGGCACTCTTAAGGACCATCCACCAGAATGGCCACGTAACAGTGTATAGTGCTAGACCCCAAAGCGTACCAAAGGTCAGGTAACGTCGCATACCTGGTGTGCGTGTCCAGCCCGGATCTACCATGATAACCCGCGCATTCATTGGTTTCTTGTCGGGCCGGTCATACTTGGAAAGATGCTTCTGAAAGGCAACAGCAAACGTCATGAGGGCAAGTTTCGACGTTGCGTACACGGTCGATGGCGTGAAATCCAGCTGTCCAGGCTCACTCTTGGCATTCTTTTTCGACTTGTCCTCCAAGCCCGGCAGCTTTCCTCCCATGTATGAGGAGCAGGTACCGAAGATGATTCGAACGTCACGATCAGGAGGCTGTGCTCGGAGCGCTGGGCTGAGAATACTCAACAGATGGAAGTTGGCAATGTAGTTCAACCCCCAAGTCGACTCCAAGCCATCCTCTGTCTGCGTTGCTTTTTTCCCAGGGGGTGTCATGGTATTTGCACAGAGAACAATCATGTCCAAACGGCGAGGCGGTGCGTTATCAACCCATTTTGTTGCGAATTGGCGTATGCTGTGCAGAGATTCGAGATCGACATGCTCAGCAGTGA